CCTACATATGATGTTAGAGTGATGGTTGATGAAATCTGAACAAGTTCTGTAGATAACATTATTGCATCAACATTGATTTACTGGTTTTGATAACTGTAGTTATATAAAAGAATGCCCTGGATCTTGGGAAATTTTTGCAGAAGTATTCAAGAATAAAACGGCTTCTAACATGGAAGCATTTAAAAAATTTTATATATATACATTTATATATACATATACATTAATACATATATGCTCATGCACATGAAGAAAAGTACATGATTAGGCAAATATAAAATGTTAACACTTGGAAAATCTGGATGAAGAGTATGTGGAAATACTTTGTATTCGTTTTGAACTTTTTTGTAAATCAGACTTAAAGAATAAAAAGTTCAGAAAACATTAGATGCAGGGAAAAATGTGTATATGAAACCTCGGTTTGTGTTGACAGGGATCTATCTACCTACACCCTAGAATAACAGGTCACTTCTGGGAAGTACACACGATGCATGTAGTAGTGCTTACCTCTAGGGGCCTGGGCGGGGACGGAGACTGACCCTTCATTATAGACTCTTCTGTAGTTATATTACAAAAAAAGAGTTGACTGTTTAGATTGTTTTCCAATTTTAAAAACTAAGTATGCTTTTTAATTGCTACAAGATACATGTGCTCACCAGGGGGAGACAGAGAGGAAGAGGGAAAACCCGACCCCCGCCTTGCCTCCGTATGGCATGGTCACCACACAATCCTTTCTCCCCCATTTCTCCATCCAGTCAGGATTTGGGGCACACACATGTGCTTGGCGTGTTTTTCAAGCCTCCAGGGCCAGGATTAAAATCACGGTCAGCCATGTGGGAGCTGGCTCCCTTAACCACTAGGATATACGACCAGTTGCAAAACTTCCGGTATTTTCATGTCGGTTTTGCTATTTCCCCTCAAGCTTTCTTTTCCATGTGAGCTACTCTTGCTGTCCAGTGCTGCTCTGCACAGCATTTTCAGGCCCCAGGCAATGGGAAAGGCTGTTCTACTGCAGCATTGCAGGGGTCAGAGCAGATCTCGGGGTGTCCCCGTTACCAAGGAGGGTTTCCCGGGCAGGACTGAGGCAGAAGCACCACCTCTGGCACTACTGGTAGACATCTCTGCCATCCTCTGAGATCTTTCCTATAAACAGCTCACTTCTTCCTTTGTTCAGATAACATGTCTTTAACCTCGGCCACCAAAGCCAACATATCCCACCTGAGGCAAATCTGGCCATAACATACTTGTAAGGCCAAATGCAAAGAACAAATATTGTATTAGTCCATATGTGTGAAAGGTCCAGAACAGACAAATCTATAGAAATTACAATGATGATTACCAGGGTCTGCTTGGGGAGGGGAATGAGAGTCATTGCTAATGGGTATGAGGTTTCATTTTTGGGGTGATGACCAAGTTCTAAAATTAGATTCTGGTGATGTTGCAAAGTTATATATATTAAAAACCATTGACCTGTACAGTTTAAACAGGTGAATTGTGTGGTGCGTAACCTATATCTTAAAAAAAAAATCTGTAAAAAAAAAAAAAGAAAGAAAGAAAGGAAGGAAGGAAGGAAGGAAGGAAGGAAGAAACCAGGGCAGCCAGTGGGAGCCAGTGGCATGGTGGGTAAGGCGGTCTGATCCCACACAGCCAATTGTGCAGTATGAGACCCAGACCCAGTGGCTTGAGAAACACAGCAGGTATGTGTGCATGCATGCCCCAAATCTAAAAGCGGGAGAAATGCACCTGAGACTATCCTCCATGGGAATAGCTTTCTCATTTTCTTGCTCTCTCTCTTTTGCAAGTGCACATACCCTCTGGCAAATTAAAAAAAGAAAAGTCCAAATACATACCATTTTGTAAATATTGTTCCAGCTGGTCCCTCCTCTCATCAGCCATAGATGTAGTCATTGCCAGATAGTACTTCGGAGGAAAGGGCGGCAGGCAGTTTCCAAAGACACGCCTCAGCTGAAAACGCCAGAAGGTACAGTGAGGCAAGCAGGCCTTCAGCTCAAGGCTAACAGACACTCACGCAGGGCAAGCTGCATCCCAGTGCTTGATTTAAAATGAACATTTCCGTGTGGCTAAAATGATTATTTGACTTTCTTAAGGGGAACTTAACTTCAGCATGTTTCCAGATATACTGCTAGATAAACCATAGGTTGTCATCGCCTGTCTGTCTAGCAGATTTGGAGTGTATTTTGATATCACATGTGTTGTCATTGAAATCAGATACTGTGGGATGAAGGAAACACTGTATGTTATGAGTGATGCATCCCCATCCCACCTCCACCAAACCGGAACTTAACAAACCTTTCCAGCCGTGCTTTCGATGTGGTGGCCACCAGCCACCTGTGTCTAATGAGCCCTTGACTGTCACTAGTTTTAACTGAGATGTGCAGTATGTGTTCAATACTCCTGATTTTGAAAACTCGATATAAAGAAAATACAAAGTATCTCACTGGTAATTCCCTTCTCTTGACTGCATGTTGAAATGATATTTTGGCTATATGGGGTTAAAGATATTATTTAAATGATTAAATACAATATTAAAATATGTTATTAAAATGAATTATTGAATATATTAAAATTAATCATTAAATACATTATTTAAATTATTGCATGTATGATTACATAAATTGCTTATTAAAATATATTATTAAAATGATTTCTGCCTATTTCTTCACATTAGATTTCTATTGGACAGTGCTGGTTATAGAATTCCTGTAAGGCTGATACATGATCCCAACAGAAACCTAGTTAGGCCTTTCACTCTCAGTCACCTGTATGTGACTCAAGAACATGGAGACAATTTACTATTTTGGGGAGGTCCATAATAGAGCATATGTGGAGGGAAGAAGCAAGGGAGAAGCACCTGTCACAGGGCCCAGTCACACCGTGATCCCCTTCCTCCAGGCCTCCAGCCCACCAGGATCCTGAGCAGGTGTGCATACACCTGGTGAGTTTCAGGTCAATCAGTCCAGAGATTCAAACCACAGTCGACATGCAGCTTCCAGCCCCGCAGACCAGTATGCTATCAAGTGTACCATGGAGGCTGAGGCAGTAATTATTTTTATGCAAACTAAGTGGATGCATAAAAAATATTTTTTTAATTAAGAAAACCAAAACTGTGTTTTCTTCATTGCAGCCCTACATTGATAGTAGCAGCTTGAAGGTAAGGCCCAGCATCATTTTCTTTAAAATGAGAGAAAGAAAAGCAATCATAAACCCAGTGAGGTTATAATGGTGTCTGTGGTTTAGGAGGGCTAAAACCTTACCATTACCATAGTCGGTAACTCAAAGAAAATGAAAGCAGGCCTAAGATATAGGAGGCTGCAAGCAGATAAGAAGTGTAATTCCATGGCCTTTGTCACAAATACAAAGTGTGTGTGACAAATACTTACCTCATGTAGGCCCTATCTTGAAAATACATCAAGAATCTGACTACTTTTTTCTACCTCCACTGCCATCGCTCTGGCCCAAACCACTGTCATCTGTTTTCTATGGACTGATTATTGCTGTAGCCTTCCAAAAGGTCTCTCTGCTGCCACCCTTAACTCTCTCCAGTCTATTCCTAACATGGTATATAAGGCAATACTTCAAAAATGTAAGTCAGATCATTCCACCACCCTGTTCAAAATCTTCCGTGCCTTATCTCACCCAAGAAAAAGTCAAAATCCTTACTGTGGCCTAGAATTGTCCAATATGGTGGCCACTGGCTACCTATGAGTAAATTTTAAATGAATTAAAATGAAATAAAATTTAAAAATTCAGTTCCTTAGTCATAGTAGCCACATTTCAAGAGCTCAATAGCATTTGAAACATGGCAAGTTGCTGGACAAAGTGGATCTAAAGTACCTCCATCCACACAGAAATTTCTCCTGGACAGCGCTGGTCCGACCTGCAGGAAGGTTATTATCTGCAGGTCCTGGACACATGTTGTTTGGTTGTGCTTGTTTGACTTTTATAGAATGGGAAGCTAACATTTATCTTTTCCATTTAAAAATTGTAAAACTTATGTCCTACAGGTAATGCAAAATGTTATAGCCACTTTGGAAGACGGTTTGGCAATTTCTTACAAAACTAAATATAGTCTTACTATAGAATCCAGCAATCACACTCCCAGACATTTACCCAACTGATCTGAAAACCAGGACCACACAAAAACCTGCATGGGAACATTTATTCATAACCCTCTGGAAATGAAAGCAACAGAAACATCCTTTTTTAAAAGAAGTATATATTTTATTTTATTTATTATTATTATTATTTATTATTATTATTATCGTGTATACTCACAAGAGAGGAAGAGAAAGTGAGAAAGCAAGCCACCAAGTCTGGGATTTGAACCATGGTTGGCCATATGGGAGTCTAGTGCCCAACAATCACACCACCTGCTGGCCCCAGAAATGTCCTTTTATATATGAATGAATGAACAAACTGTGATATAACCATATAACAAAATATTATTCAACAATATAAAGGAATGGACCATCAAACCACAAAAAGGTATGAATGAAATTTAAATGTGCATTGTTAATGAAAGAAGTCAATCTGGAGAAACTAGATATTGTACAATTTCAATTATACCACATTCTGGAAAAAGGCAAAATCATAGAGAATTAAAAAGGTCAAGAGTCACCAAGGCTTTGAGATAGGGGAGGTTGCTTGAATAGGTAAAGTACATAGAATTTCTTAGGGCAATACAATTATTTTGTATTATACTATAATTGTGGGGACCAGCAGATGGCATAATGGTTACATTGCTGGACTCCCACATAGTCAACCACGGTTTAAATCCTGGACCCAGAGGCTTTAAACTCACACCGGGTGTCTGTGTGTGTGTGCCCAAGATCCCAACAGGAGAGTAGAGAAGGGATTGCTGCGTGGCCATCCCCCCAGGGGGTGATCTCTTACTTTTTGTCTGTCTCTCCAGTGAGTGCATGTGCCATATAGCAAAAATCTCTCTAAAAAATATTTTAATTGTAGATACATTACACTATGCATTTGTCAAAACCCATTGAACTTTATAACAGAAGCTCAACATAGGCAAATCATTTTTTAAAAATCACTTAGGAAGTTGAGGGAATTTTAGAATGGAATGCAAAATGTGTCAAAACTATCTTACAAATATATGAAACCACTTCACTTAAAGGGGTAAGAGGACAAGGTGATAATTGAAGCAACTTTAGAAATGAATGGAGTCTGCAAAATAAAAGGCAAAGAATCAAAGTATTGCATTCTAGTTGCTAACGTTGTTTCCCATGCAGTTATAGGTCAACAATGCTAATACTGCTATAGGTGTAAATACAGAACCAAACAAGTAAACGAATGGCAGATTATGGAAGTCAGGTTTCACGTGGTTGGATGGGAAGTTTACAGATAAATGGAGGAGACTAGAATAATCCATGTGGTATTATATTAGAATTGGATACATTAGTATGAGAGCATGTTTGGCTTAATATAAATACATATGACTATGGCTGTATATCGAAATAATTATAGACATGCTTATATATTGGGTTGTTGGAAAAGTCATGTCATATTTTTCTATACCAAACTGCATCATGACTTTTCTGATGACTCAACATATGGGTTACTATACACAAATACATTTCCTTGATCTGTCAGCTGAGAGGGGCTAGAAGCAACAATACGGCTGGAGAAACAAACACGTCTAGGGCCCAGATCTTGGTTTCTAATACCATTCTCTAATTAAGGCAACCAGGTCTCCATAGGAAATGACTGATTCTGGGAAGAAGGCTGGATCCCAGATGGTCAACTGCATAGTTTGAGTCCCAGACCCAGTGGCATAAAAGATATACCAAACATGTGTGCAAGTGTGCTCAGAATCCTGAAAGAAGAAATGAAGGAGAAGGAATTGCTGCATGACTCTCCCCACCCATGGGGGATGCTTTCTCACTTTCCTTCTCTCTCTGTCTCTCTCTGGCAAGTGCACATGCCCTCTAGCAAATTAAAAAAAAAAAAAAAAAAAGGTGGCTGATTCTAAAACTGAAGCAAGAATTATACAAAATGAGCTTGGAGCATATTGTAGTGACAGAAATAAGGAAGTGCTCAAAACAAAACACCAACCGTGGGGTATGTTTATGAGACACAGGAACATACTGAATGAGCTCTCATGGGTGGAAGTTGGGGTGGTTTCAGCAACAAAGTAAAGTAATATTGAAATACAACTCAAAGCATAAAGTTAATACACAGGAGCACATTCAGAAATAAAGAACCAAATAAACAGAAGAGACAAATCTCTGTGCAGAATTCCAGATCATCTGTGTTGACATTAATTTCTCAAGACAGTGGGAGCACATACTGACTTCCTTCAAAAGAAAAAGGGAGGAAAGAGAAACTTTCCAGTGGTGAAACTTGACCAACTCTCCTTTGGCTGAGGGACAGAGGTCAACAGCAAAGTGGGAAGTCCGTCTCAGCCTCAGTGGTGTCAGTAGTGTAGTAGTGCAGTGCTGGAAGCCATGGGCCCAACCACAGGTTAGGATCCCAGCCTGGCTGACCTGTAACAAGCTAGAGGCACACATGCCCAAGATCCTGGTTCACTGGCGAGCTGGTGGAAGAGGACTGAGGCATGACAAGACCCTGCTGGGAACCAGCAGTTAGCGTAATGGCTATGTCGCTGGACTCCCACGTAGTTGACCGCGGTTCGTGTCCCGGACCCGGTGGCTTAAAACTCACGCCGGGCACGTGTGCGTGCGTGCCCAAGATCCCGAGAGGAGAATGGAGGAGAAGGGATTGCGGCGTGACCATCCCCCCTGGGGGGTGATTTCTCGCTTTCTGTCTCTATGTCTCTCTCTGTCTGTCTGGCGAGCGCACGCGCCCTACAGTGAAAATCTCTCAAAAAAACAAACAAACAAAAAGACCCTGCTGAGGGAGCACATGTGCTCTCTCTCACACACACACTCTATCATGAACAAAATAACCTTTAAAAAAAAAAAGAGTGA